AGGCTGTATACCACTCCAGTTACCAGAAGGCAGGCACACTCTAGTTGTTGGTCCAATTAAGCGATATCCCGGATGACAAATGAACGACACAGATTCCCCAGTCCAGTATCGTGAGCCGCGTTTTTGACCGTTTAGTGGAGAACCAGGATCACCACAATTAACTAAGGCTTAAGAAAAAATATATATATATATAACAATAAAGAAACAAACAAACAAAATAAGACGAGCAACTCTCAGAGGTCGCGGTGCCTTTGACGATTACCGAGGGATGTTGTCAAGCCACCGTACCAGCAGAGGTCGTCAATTCAGTTTAGCTCACACAGCAAAGCTTGTCTGTTAAAATTCTTATTGACAAGTTTAGGTCAGACCATTACTATTATTATTTTTTTTTCGAAACATATTTGACCACAGTTAGAGCAAAAGCGAGTAAAATGGTGTTATACAGTAGACCGAGTTCTGCTGAAACCTGCAGATACCGCTCGATTCCACTATCTAGGCCTTACATTTCTGACAAGATTCCTAAATGACCCATCTACTTATGCGACTCATCAGTTATTTGGCGCACTTTTGTTGTTCTGAAATAATGGACAAGGACGAGTGTTCCAGAGTTGCAAGCAAGATTTCAATTTTAATTTCACACCATCAAGAGATTATCTAGGTAAGAGAGTGAATCTCCCATATAGGTCCTCTAACTAAGGTAATCCCTCGCGAGATTCGCAGGTTGAATATTAAGTAGTTTTTTAATCAATGTTGCCTTTGGCGTTCACGCTGGGGTCAAACGGCCCTGAAAACGGTCATTAAGGTGTCGCGAATTTTGGTTATATCAGCGTAACTTCAAATATAATAAATATCTCGTTGCGAAACTTGGCAAGTGAATAGAGGACAAATGTCCATTTTTTTGACAACAAAATTGACAGCAAATATCAAATTATGACGTCACAGTTAATGACATCATTCCATAACCTTGATTAAAATTCCGACTTTTTTGTACTTCTTTAGAAAGAGCACAGCAAGAGGGATTAAAAGCTGAAACCCGTCTGTTATTATCTAAAAAAATTAAAGGAGATATGACATTTTAAATTTTAGAGAATGCTCAGCCCAAAACCGGTGACGCCCCCTCGATAAATATTTTCTAATTGAAGGTGTTATTTCCTGTTAGCAATCTCACTTACGTGGCATATTGACTGCACTACATGAGTAGTACACATGTAACCCAAAAAGAGGTCCATCAATGTTTTTCCTGCCCTTCTAAGCACCTCAAAACGTATTTGTGACGTCATTAGAAATGACGTTTTCAATTATTCAAACAACAAAAACTTGTTTAAGAGGCCAAGACTAAAACATCTAAAATCATACGATTTTTAGCGGCACTAAGTACTCTATATTACCAAATTCTCAGAGTTCCTTAAAGAAAACTGAAGAAAAAAAAATCAAGGGGGTTGATTTTAGAGGAACAGTTTGGTTCCGTGGGACACTGAAATTTCTTGCTATAACTCTAGAAATATTTGTCATAGCGAGGAACGGTTTTCAGTATAACAGTTCCCTAGTTATGCTCTTTTAAATGATGTATTTGCTGGTTTGAAATTTATATTAGAAACGTTGTATAACACGTTTCTGTGACGTCATCAAATCTGACGTCAAAATATGACATTTTGACATTTTGTTACACTTGAAATGATCCAGACAACGATCCAAGGCAGTGTGCAAGGTTTGGTTAAAACAAAAAAAAAATTTGCAAAGGGCGCAAACTTGCCCTAAATGACCGTTTTTAAGGCCATTTGGCCCCAGGGTGTTGTTGCCGTTGCCGTTTCAACTGCTTTGCCACTTGGGCAGCAAGCGTCTTCCTGCACCTTCGACCATCTGTTTGTTCGGTTGCCTAGCTTGTGTTTGGGCGTTTGTTTGCTTTGGACTCGTTTGTCTACTCATTTCTCTGCCGTTCATTCATTTGTTGTTTGTGCAGGGGACATCCGTTACTTATTTAAACTCCTATTAAAGTTTCGAAATGTATTAGAAACATACCGAGAGAAACATACCTCCTTTGCTTGTAATCCAAATATCTAAAAAGACATCCCCACAGCGTTGGAGGTTTTTCTTTGGTTTGAAGCGAAACGAAACGAATTGCCAAACATAAACAGATCCTTCACGAAAACATGCACGCGATGCGCGAGTAACATTCCAGGAAGAGCTGGGTACAATGTCTAAAAATAGCTTAAGAGGAATTACCCTAGTTACAGGATCTATATGGGGGAGTCAGCCTCTTACCTTGGTAATCTCTTGCACTGTAAATAAGATCTCTACGCCGTAATTGTAAGCGTAAGCCTCTGCATCTCTTAGCATAAGATTAACCTTATGAAAGAAAATTATCTCCTCTGGTTTCGATTTGATTTAGGAATTTCACAGGACAATTGTTAATCATAAACGGAACGTTTTTTTCAATGGCTTCTTATTGGTTCTGAACATATTTGACGATTTTGAAGATGTTCCCGAAAGCAGACTTTGAACATCTGCCACAATAAAGAGCGAGCGTTCTCTACTATGTCTTTGATTGCAACTTCAAAAAACCATGACTAGGATTCATTTCGTGCTGATTTTACTTCGACAACTTACAACAATGTTCGCCAACACTAAAAGGTGTCAAACATCAGTTATGTTTCTTCAATTTATAAAAGATTAGGATTGATAAAATGAAGTAAGTCGGAGTTTCTAGGACTCAAACAACAAAAGGGAAATCATCATATATACACGTTGATAAACTGAGGCCGGGTCTATTAGATCGAATTCAAACATTTCCAATTTTTCGCGAGGAAAAAATTAATAAAAATTTCGCAAACTCTAAATTTTGGCAGTGGTCGCATCAGACCTACCTATGTATGTTTTAACCAAACCTTTTCCGATTGAAATATACCTCACGAGATCTATATTTCTCAAATAAGTATTTTATTTTTTATGCACTTCTCGACGGTCTTGGTGGATTCCATGTGAGAGTGAGATATTTCTCCACGCTGCTCTTGACTCTCGGTTCTCCAGCAACATGTGGCTTTCGGCCCATAGTTGGACGAGCGGTTTTTGCTTTTTTGCTTTTTTCGCGTTCTTTTTGCCTATCTATGTGCTGTATGTGCTGTTGCTTGCACCACTTGCGCTGGTTTTCATACTTGCGATCGAAAAAGATGGTCTCGCTGACGCTATCTCTTCAAATTGCTGTCAGTAACCAGATCCAGGGTACAAGTCATAAGAATTTGAATAAAAACGCCGCTCATATTCTTCGTTTTCATTGAAATAACTGTATAAAAAAGGCCAGATAGACAGGGTAAAGATGAATCTGTCCCGCCATCGCACGAGCCAAACTGGAAAAGCTGACCAAAGATATTTTCTCGTCGTAGTTTTACCCAGACATGTTTTAAGAAATATGACAGTTTAATTGTTAAGAGTCCCTGTCCATAAATATGGAAAATAACTCGGCAAGGGTCCAAAATTCGATTTCGCTCATATTT